GTATATAACCCAAAATTTACAATTTTATCCACTTTTAAGTATACAATTCAATTGCATTAAGTACCATGATGTTGTGCAGCTATCACCAGTATCTATCTCCAGAAGGGTTTTTTTTGTTGTTCTTTTTTTTTTTTTTTTTTTTTTTTTTTTTTTTTTTTTTTTTTGTTTTTTTCTTTAAAAGTGGCCCTGCCCCGCCCCGCGGGCCGTAGTTTGCCCACAGCTGCCCTAAACCCTGTCAGAGCTACCCTATCTTACTTAGGCAACATAATACTTAGCTCCTATAGCTAAAGGAAGGGTGCTATCTTGTCTTAGTTAAGCTGGCTAAGAAATCTGATATACAGTCGGACCCAAATTCCCAAATCCAAGACAAGTCAGTATGTCATTAACAACCTTAATGATTAACTACAAAGTATCTTCTAGGTGGCTCAGGATATGGGAGAACAACAGTTGTTAAGGTATGAGGCCACTTTATTATTTTTTTTAATGTTTTTATTTATTTTCCATCTTTATTGTTGAAAGTATTACATATGTCCCCTTCCCCTCCCCATTGACCTCTTTTTTTTTACAAAGAGGAAGGGAGAGGGATAGAGAGTTGGAAACATCGATGAGAGAGAAACATCGATTAGCTGCCTCCTGCACACGCCCCACTGGGAATGTGCCCACAACCAAGGTACATGCCCTTGACCGGAATCGAACCTGGGACCCCTAAGTCCGAAGGCCGACGCTCTATCCACTGAGCCAAACCAGTCAGGGCTAAAAAGCATACTATTGAATGAAAAGAGAAACAGAACAAGATCTATAGTACAATGTCAAGTCAGTAAATATAAAAAAAAAATACACATGTAAATATTACTAGCTATTTTGCAAGAATTCATAAATACAGGAGTGGGCAAAAGTAGGTTTATAGCCCTGGCTGGTGTGGCTCAGTTGACTGGGCTTCATCCTGGTTGGGCACATGCCTGAGTTTTGGGCTTGATCCCTTGTAGGGGCTGTGCAGGAGGCAGCTGATGGATGATTTACTCTCACACTGACGTTTCTCTCTCTCTCTCTCTCTCTCTCTCTCTCTCTCTCACCCCCTCTCCCTTTCTCTCTCTCTCTCTAAATCAATTTAAAAATCTAAAAAAAAGTAGGTTTACAATTGTTTAAATGGAAAAATATAATAATTACTAATTATCTACAATAATAAAAGCATAATATGCTAATTAGACCGGACGTCTTCCAGACAAAGCCAGGGCTGCAAGGGAAGCCTGGGTCCTGGGTGCCTGCAAGGGGCCAGAGGGAAGCCAGTGCCAGCAGCCGGGGGAAGGAAGGCCTACTCTTGCACAAATTTCATGCATTGGGCCTCTAGTATAAAAATAAACTCTGTATTTTGCATACTCACAATTGTAAACCTACTTTTGCCCACCCCCCTATTTAAGAGTAAATATCAAACTTGTTAATATGGTTGTCTATTGGGAGGAAGTGGATGGAAATGGGAATAAGAAAAAATAACAGGGACTGATAATGTCAAATGTTACAAAAAAGGCAGAATGATTTTCAGCTCTCTGCACATGAGCTCTAAGATTATCAATTTAATACAAAGAAGTCCCTCCTGGTTCTGGCATAGTGGCATAAGCCCACCATTCCTGCGGATTATAGCTAAGAACTCTGGACTCTGAAAAGTAAGTAAAATCACGTGGGCTGGGGAGAAGAGTCAAAAAATGAGGGTGTGTTTCCAGCTTTTCCCCCCCTCAAGTGTGGCTTTGCAACAAGGGTGGACCCCACTTGCAGAGCATCATGGCCAGTCTAAATTCCAATAGAATCTACACCTTTCTGGCCAGGAAACCAGGAAGAGGGATACCTATAGAGTGTGTGTGTGGTGGGGGGAGTCATAGAGAAGAGATAGGCAAAAAAAGGATCCCATAATTTTGGGTATGAATCCACACAAATCACAATTTAGCCTGAGCTATGTATGTCTGGAGTATACCTCAAACCAGCTTTTGTAAAGGCTTAGAAAAGAGAAATAAGATTTGAACAAATGTACAAGTCTCAGACCAACCCCTGAGTTATTAGTGTAAGATGGACCTAAACCAATGTATCAAAAGCTTTGAGAGCAAAAACAAGTTTTGAAACTCCCCAAAAAAGTCTCAGACTAACCCATAAGCTATTTATGTACAAAACAGACCTAAACTATCATAGCAAAGACTCAAAGAATGGAACTGATATTGAACCAATGCCCTCAAAAGGCAAAACAACTTATGGTCTGAACCTAAACAGGTTACCTACTAAAATAAAAACATTAACATTTCCCAGAAGATTCTGAAACGACCCAGAGTCTATATATATAGCATTCACAATCTTGAGAATTCCAAAATTATGCAATATACAATCAGGAAAATGTGAGCAAATTCTCAAAGAAACAGATGATAAAGAGATGACAACCCCAAGATAATCTAGATGTTTGAACTATCATAGACTTTAAAACAACTATTATAACTATGCTCCATGAAATAAAACACATTTGAAATTAAGGAAAAGGTACTAGATTTATCAGAGTGATTACTTTGTAAGTTATATGTCTAAGCACTATGTTGTACACTTCCTTCCTATGTTCAATTATAACTGAAAAATAAAATTTAAAAAAACCCACAATGAAACAATATTATATACCCACTAAGTTAGCTAAAATTAAAGACTTACTCTCATACTCCGCTGGCAGGAATGTAAAACAATACCACCGTTTTGGAAAACAAGTAATGTCTTGTAAAGTTAAACACACTCCTGACATATGACCCAACCATCTTAAATGCTAAATACCATCCTAGTAAATAAATACCATCTCAGATATTTATCAAGCGAAACGAAAACATTTTTCCAGACAGAGACTTGCACAAGAATGTTCATAGCAGCTTTACTATAATACCCCCAAATTGAAAATAACCCAAATATTCATCAAGGTAGATGGCTAAATAAATTATGGTCTGTCCATAATGGAATTCTATTCAGTATCAGAAACTAACTTTCATTCAAAAATCATTATTCTGAGTGAAAGAAATCATGCAAAAAGACAACATAATGTATAATTTCATTTATATAAAATCCTAGAACAATGCAAACCACTGTACAGTGACAGAAAACAGGTCAGTGGTGTCTGGAACATAGTAATTTAGTAAATGTTATCTGAATGAATTAATCCCTTCCAATGAATACCTAGTTAACTATTTTTTGCATTAATATGTAAAAGCTTAGCACATTCAATATACAAAATACACCAGTCTGGAAGCCATAGTTTGAAAATACAAGGATGCCTTATAGTCATTTTTATTATTCCTTCCTATGTTCATCAACATATCCATGAGTACGTAAATGGAGAGCTACACTGAGTCCCACCTTCCATTTTTATTATAATTCGTACTTTTGCCAGCTAAGTTTTTCTCGGGGTTTCGACCTGCCCTGTCCAATCAGGAAGACATTAGCTACAGGTGGCTATTCAAATTTAAAATAATTCAAATGAAAAGCAACTTAAAATAGTTTCTCACACTAGCCACATCTCAAGAGCTCAAAAGCCCTAGGTAGCTAGTAGCTACAGTACCGGGCAGTGCGGATACAGAAAATTTTCATCATCACATATAGTTCTAATTACAAACGGACCCCAGAAAACCTCACTTACGTCTTCGTTCCCACGATCCTCGTGCTCCTCTGCTGCTTAAAGGATGTGGGTCCCGAAGTCTATCAAACGCAAGCACATGAGTGAATGCCGGGGATCTCTGAACCTTGACCACGAAAAGACAGTCCCCCCGAGCCCAGAAGACACGAAGCTCTCCCGGGGCAGCTACCTCAAACCGAAGGAGGCAGGGCTTTTTTTAGGAAAAGTGTGCCGTCCTATCTTCCTAGGGCAGGTGACAACACCAGAGCCTTCATCTTCCCCATTCTGAAAACCCTGTCTGGATAGAGGCTCTAAAGGGAGGAGAAAAGAGAGGACAATGGATATGGGAGGCATTGGGTTATGTGAAAAGAATAGAAACGAATGGCAATGTGGCGACGCGCTGACTCCAAGGTGGGGAGGCACCGGCAGCGGAGGAGTGGGGAGAAAGAGGGGCACAGGTAGCTCTGACCTAGCGGGGTGGGGCCTGCGAGCGGCTCGGATAAAACCAACGGTGAGCTCGGGACAAAAGCGAGGCCCGCGGGCTCCACAGTGCTCCCGCGGACGCATAACGGCCGAAGAGGGAAACTCACGGCGGGTCCTGCACCGAGCCTGGAAGACATCTCTCCCTCTCCGCGCCTAACAAATTCACCCCGGGGCTCCAGCCAGACCAACGCCACTTCTGCTCGCCTGGCCTCTCCCGGATGTGGAGCCTGCGCAGTCCGCGCCGCGCGACTCCGGCCCGCACGCCCACTTCCGCCGGGCGGCTTCCGAGGGGGCTTCTGCCGCCGCCGCGCGTCACGTGATGGGCCGCTCTCCAATGCCTCGGAGACCCCGCCCCAGGACTTGCGTGGTGGGACCCCGGGGAGCAGTGGAGCCATAACCCGGCCTCAGGACCTCCTCCCTCTCCGTCATGTCCACCCTCCATTCCCAGCACGACGAGTGGTCTTTCTAGATGCACAGGAGGTTAATTATTGCCCCTTTATTTATCGGAAATGGCAGACCCATTCCCGCCGGCCCAGCCCCCGGGTAGAGAGGCATAGGCTCGTTCATTGCTGAGGATGCAAGAATTGGGGTCCGTTGGCTGAGCAGGAAAGAAGCCCGGAAAGGCGAGCTTGGTGAAGACTTGAGGGGATAAATGAATAATGGGGGCGGACATCTCATCTGCTCCCTTCAGGGCTCCAAACTTGCCCTGCTTGCGGGGGCTTTTTTGTGTGTGATCCCTAGGAGATATTTGAGTATCTCATGAAATCTTTAGAAAAAGTATGTCTGGGCCTCTCCCAACGCGAGCTGTGTCTGAGTCTCTCCTTGGGGCGCCTGTGAGTTCTCTCCGAGGGCCTCCCATGGGTTTTCTCAGATGGACTGTGTCTGCCCCTCTCAGCGTGACTATGTCCTCTCCTCTCAAAGGGGCTGTGGTTTCTCCTCGCAGAGAGTCTGCGGCATCTCCGCTCAGAGGGACTGCGGCATCTCCGCTCAAAGGAGCTCGGATGGCTCATCTGAAAAGAACTTTGATGACTCCTGCCAGGTGAACTGCGATGGCTCCTCCCAGAGGGACTGCGATGTCTCCTCTGAGATGGACTGTGATGGCTTCTCCGAGGTGGACTGAGATGGCTCCTCCCAGAGGGACTGCGATGTCTCCTCTGAGGTGGACTGAGATGGCTCCTCCCAGAGGGACTGCGATGTCTCCTCTGAGATGGACTGAGATGGCTCCTCCCAGAGGGACTGTGATGGCTTCTCCGAGGTGGACTGAGATGTCTCCTCCGAGACAGACTGCGATGGCTTCTCCCAGAGCGATTGCGATGTCTCCTCGGAGAGGGACTACTATGGCTCCTGTCAAAGAAATCACATGGGGCTCTTGCCCTATGGAAGCTGCGGTGGTTTGGCTTTCTAGGAATGAGTATCTCTTTAAAGTCACTGTAGGAGGTTCTCTTCTTAGGGGTTCCATGTAGGAGTCTCCCTTGGGCCTGAACTGGGATTCCTCTTTTGGACTCTGAGCTAGAGATTTCTTTTCCGTACCAGTTTTCCTTAGGTCTGCTGCCACTCTCATTCTGAACAGTACCCAAAGGGTGTCTGATTGTGGTGATACTTCTTTGGAAAACTCTGCACCTGGGCAGTGGGGAAGGTGTGGATTGGAAAGAGCTATCTGTTTTTGGTGGTTGTGCTGAGCAGAACTGTTCTAATTCTTCCCAGGGCATGCTCTCCTGTTCAGTGGTTAGGTCTGTTGGCTTTAGCTTGACAACTGGCATCCTGTCTCTTTCGCTATCTCCTTGTGAACTATAGTCAGAGGCTTTTTGTTCTGGTTGGCAGTTTTTGCTCGACCACAAATGGTCTGCCCTTGTCCCGTCCTCAGGCTTTGGCCCAACAAATGCCATAATTCTGCGTGCGGTTTGGAATGCCTTTCTTAGTCCCTGAAAAAGTAGTTTAATGAATTTGGGTTGGGAGGGTTTCTTGGGGTGCCTTTTTAAAGAGGCAGTAGCTGCCTGAGAGGCTCCATTCCTTTTCCCTTTCAACTGGGATGGTAATCTCCTAGAGAGACTCTGCATTATGGTCCTACTGTTTGTGCAGGACTTTTTGTTTTGTGTTCTAAATCTCTTGTTGATTCTTTCCATTGGATTTTTTGAATCATGGGTATTTTTGCTGCTCACTTTAGTCCACTCTTCATCCTGATTGCTTTCAGAGTCACTCTCTGATAACGAGTGAACTTCAGTGAATTCATAGTGCCCAGGCTCTCTAATATCTGTCTGTCCTTCTAAGTCAGGGATAATGTGGACTTGTACAGAAGCAGGAGACTGGGAAGACTGAGACAGGAAATCTATGGTAGAAGCAGGACTCCTGGAAGCTTGATTACAGATTTTAGCTGCTGATCTAGGGCTTCTAGGTGTCAAGGGTCTGTCTCTTCTATAATACTTTGGAACTTGGGATCTTTTTCCAATTCGTAACCTAAAGCCAAGACGCAATCTGATCTCTCCATGGCCTTCAGGAGTGCTTACGAGGTGGAGCTGTGGATAGATAAGAAGATAAGGTCCAAGAGTAGTCTGTAATTTATGACAATTAAATCCTGCACATCGGCCACACTGTAGGCAGATAGGGTATTTTAGGACCAGACCTGAAGTGAGAGGTGGAGGTACATTGTGAGGTACTTGACTCCTTAACAGTTTTGCTGCTATTTTTAGCTGCAGATCTTTTAGTAATTGGAACTGTTCTGAGAGGTCAGCCTGGGCCTGGGAAAGAAAACTTGGCTCCAGTGGGTGTTGGGACTCAAAAATCCTTGTCTGTGAATCTCTCTGTGAGTTCTCACTCTCTTCCACTGGAACAGGATCTTTCACAGTGAAAAATATATTGAAGGAAGACTCTGACTCTACTGGGTCAGGAAGCTGACCCTCTGTATATGAAACAGGACTGTGCTGAATGACTTCCTGGGGTATATCATTGAGCTTTGAGTTTGTTTTCTTTATTCTCACTCTAGTGCCAGAGTATTGCTGTATTATGGAGGACATAGAACCACGTGTCCATACCCTTAAGGCCATTCTTTTCTCATGACCATGGCATGAAGTATGTCTCTGAATGTAGTTTTTGGCCATTGAAGCCTGAAAAATAGTGCCTCGACCTGTCTCTAGCAGACTCTGGGAAAATTCCATCAATGCAGCAGGAACCCCAAATAAATTCTGAATAGACTGACAGGTATCAGCAGTAGACCTTTCTGTTACAGATGTTTGAGAACAAAGCTTCCTTCCCATAGTGGTTCCCAAGACATTCCCCAACATTAGCATATTGGAGAGATACTTTCTAGGTAGTCTCTGCTTCCAGGAGTGACTCTCCCAGACATTCTGTTGTCTTCGAAGGACAGACCAGGTTAATCCTCTTCGAGCCCCTGATCCTGCCTGGAATGTCTTAGATGATGATCTCCAGCTTTGTGGTGGATGTTGGGAGAGACCCTGGAGTGAGTTCTCTAACTCTGCTACCTGCCTCGGTTGAATCCTTTCCTGAAATACGTTATACACCCATGGGATCTCAGAATGGGAGGTTTCTACAGTGTTAGTTGTCTTCTCAGAGAGTTGGTTATGAAAGAAAAAGGGAAAAGTTGAAGCAGGATCTATAAAGGACTTTTTAGGCTGCAAAGTATCTGTCCAAAGGTTTTTTATATCCAACGCTCTTGATACTTCTGTCATCTCAGAATCCCAAAGACCTAATTCAGATGTTGTTTTGGCAGAACTTGAGATGACTGAGTTTGAAGAGTTGTGTAGAAGCCTAGAGAGATAATTTCTTATTTGTAACTCTTCTCCTGATGTTAACCCCTCAGAGTCCCCCTTCTGATATACCTGTCTTAAATTCAAATCCTCAGATTCTATAACTTGAGGAGGCCTTATTTTTATCCCCATAGATTTCACAGCCTGATGCCCTTGTTCATGAGTCAGCACTGTAGGATCCTCAAATGAAGATGTTGGCTGTGAGGTTAGTTCTGCAGATTTCACTTCAGTATTTGACTGTGGATTTAACTCCACAGATTTCACTTTTTGAAAACATGATTCTAGTGCAAACACCTCACATTTTAAGTCCTGCATCTCAGAGCCTGAAATCAAGTTCACAGAATTTGCACCACAAAGCAATGGCTCTTTGTTCATCTTCACAGACTTTGTATCTTTAAACAGTGGCTCTGATTCATATAACACAGATTTTGGACCATTTAACTGAGGATCCAAAACAGAGTGTCCAGCTTGTTGCTGTGACCCCAGGTGGTTCTGCAAAACTTGGTCTTCTGGAAACTTTATCCCTGGAGTTAATTTAGAAGATTTTACACCTTGCAAATGCGATCCAGGATTAAATAAAATAGACTTTGTGCCCTGAGATTCTGGCCCAGCGTTCAATTCAGAAGGCTTCATGCCTTGTATCTGTGGCCCTGAATTAAACTTTATAGAATTCATGCATTGAAGTTCTGACCCTGATTTCAATTTAGAAGAATTCACACCTTGCAGCTTTGGGCCAGAGTTGAACTCTGTTGTCATTATATCTGAAGTCAATTCAAAAGATTTTACACCTTGCAAGGGTGGCCCACAGTTACATCTAGTAGAATTTACACATTGTAATTTTGTCCCTGTATTCAACTCACAAGAATTTTCACACTGCATCTGGAGCCTAGGGTTGCATTCCAAAGGTGCTATGTCTAGGAACTTTGACCCAGTAATCAATTTAGATTTCAAACCTTGCCAATGTGGTCCAGGGTTGAACACCATAGATGTCTCACTTTGAATCTCTGGATTCAATTCAGAAGACTTCATACCTTGATGTTTTGAAACTGAAGTTAATTCAGAAGAGTTCACACCCTGAAAATATGGCTCAGGGTTGGACACTATAAATTTGACACTTTGAAGCTCTGGCCATGGATTTAACTTGTAAGATTTCTCATCTTGCCACTGCTTTCCAGCATTGAACTCAGGAGATATCACACTGTGAACCTCTGATTCCAAGGCCAAGTCAGGGGGTTTTGCAACCTGAAATTTTGGGCCATCATTGACCTCTGTAGAGTTCATTATTTGAAGGTTTATCGACTCAGAGGATTCTGTACCTTGTAACTTTGCTCCAGAGCTGAATTCCATAGATTTCATACCTTGAAGGTGTGTGCCTCGTGTCAACATAGACAATATCCTATTGTGTGGGGCTGAGTTGAACCCCAAAGATTTAACATCTTGTACTTTTGTACCTGGAGTCGATTTAGATTTCATATCTTGCCACATTGGTCTAGTGGTGAACTCCACATATTTTTCACTTTGCAGCTTTGTCTCTGGTGTTAACTCAGATGTCACAACTTGTGACTGTGGAACAAGTTTTAACTCAACAGATTTCAAATCTTGAAGCCTCCACTCTAGTGTCAAATCAGATTTCTCACCTTGTCCCTGTGGTCCAGGGTTGAACTTCAAAGGTTTCACCCCTTGAAGCTTCTTCCTCTGGGTTAAATCAGATGGGTTTCCACCCTGTAACTTTGGACCATGGTTGACCCTTAAGGTGTTCACATCTAGATGCTTTGTCCCTTGAATTGACTCAGATTTTTTACTTTGTATCTGTGATGCAGAGTTAAAAAAAGATTTCATTTCTAGAGGCTTTGTCCCTGGGATCACTTCAGAAGATTTTGTACCTTGAAACTGTGGTCTAGAATTGGACCCCAAAGATTTCATATCTTGAAGCTTTATACCCATGACCAAGTCAGAGCATTTTATATGTTGTAACTGTGGATCTGAGTCCAACTCTACAAATTTTGTACCTGGACACTTCCCCCCCAGGGTCAAGTCAGATTTCTCACCTTGTAACTTTGGGCTAGGTTGCAATTCTACAGATTTCATATCTTGAAGCTTTTTTTTTACCACTTCAGAAGATTTCATATTACCCAAGTGTAGTCCAGACCTTAAATTCATACATTTTACATCTTTAAGTTTTATATCCATGAGCAACCTAGAAGAGTCTATATCCTGCAACTGTGGGCCTGTGAATTCTCCTGAGAGGGCTTTTTCAAGCTTTGTCCCCAGTATTTGCTTAGATTTCACAACTTGCATCTGGGGGCCAGGGATTAATTTTTTATGTTTTACATCCTGAAGATTTGTCTTTGAGATCCCTTGAGAAGATTTCATATCTTGTAACAATGACCCAGGTTTGAAATCTGTAGATTTGACACCTTGAATCTTTGTCCCTATAGTTGATTTAGGAAAAGTTGTACCTTGCAACTGTGAGCTAGGATTTAATTCTGTAGATTTCATATCTTGGGACTTTATCTTGGGCGGAAACTTAGATTTTAGACTTTGCCACTGTGACCCAGTGTTGAAATCCTCAGATTTCACACATTGAAGCTTTGTTTGAAGAGCCACCTCAGATGACTTTACACTTTTCAAGTGTAGTAGAGAGGTGGACTCTACAGTTTTATCACTTTGTGACCCTTGGTTTAATACCCTACATTTCACCTCCAGAAGCTGTGGTTCAAGACACTTTACACCTTGAAGCTGTGTTCCTGGGGATGACCATAATGGTTTCACTTCCTGAAGCTGTAAACAAGGTTTCAAATCAGAACCCTGAGGCCGATGTTTCTGGCATGATGCCGCTTGAAGCTCTGGTTTTGAAGTCAATGTAGATGATGACTTCCTATCCCTTGACTGTATCAAAGTTTTCCACTCTACTGGTTTGACACATTGAGATTGTAACTCAAGATTTACCAGGGATTTTATACCTTTAAACTCTAGTGCAGGTATCCACTCAACAGATTTTGTACTTCTAAGCTGTGGTTCTTGGTTTAGCTCTACACTTTTCATACCTTGATGCTGTGGCTCTGATGATGATGCCAAAATTTTCCCTTTTTGCAGTTGTGATCCTGAGGGCAACTCCAGGGTTTTCACATTCTGCAAATGTGGCTCACAGTTGCTCTCCATATACATTGCACCTTGAGTTTTTGGCCCTAGAGTCAATTCAGATGATTTTGCATCTCTTGACTGTATAAAAGATTTCAACTCTACAGATTTGACTTTTTGAGGTTGAGACCCAAGATTTAACCCTATAGATTTCACATTTTGGAACTCAGGTCCTGGTATCCATTGAATACATCTCAGACATCCAGGCTGTGACTCCTGTTTTAAATCAACAGTTTTCACCCCTTGAAGCTGTAGTTCTGAAGTTAACACCAAAGGTTTCACTTGGTGCAACTGTGGTTCAAGTTTAAACTCTTTAGAGTTTACATCTTGAATATTTGATTCTGGGGTCAATTCAAATGATTTCATTTCTTTCGACTGTAACTCAAAGTTGAGGTCTACTAATTTTCCATCTTTAAAGTTTAGCTCTGGATTTAACTCCAAAGACACCCCATCTTCTGACTTAGACCCTCTCTTAAATTGCTCAGAATTCACACATTGCTTCTCTGGTGATATTACAGATATCTCACCATTCTGTTCTGTCTCAGTACTTACATTCACATTTGATACCCCTTGAAATTGTTGCCTTGGTGCTGAATCCACAGATTTTACTCTTTGAAACTTTCGTATTCTGGTTATATCTACCTGCCTCTTTAGACTTCGGGTCAACTTCACAGATTTTATACTTTGCAGTGGATCTGGAGTCTCCTCTAATGATTTTAAATTCTGAAGTTTTAAAGATGGGGTAATTTGCAAAAATTTCATGTATTGCATTTGTGGCTCTGACGTCAATTCCTCAGGTTTTATACTCTGCCATTTAAGCCCTTGGAGCAATGGCCCTGGTACAAAAGGCACAGAACTCTCACCTTGCAACTGAACAGATTTTATACCTTGAAGCTTGAAATCTTGGGTGGTTTTTACAGATTTGATATCTATCTGTGGGCTTAAGGTTGTTTCCACAGATTTCTCACCTTCCAGCTGTGGACTTGGGCATCTCAGGCATTCTCCTGGAGTTAAGGCCACAGATTTCACATCTTCCAGCTCTGACTCTGAAATCAACAACTCAGACTTTAAACCTTGAAGTTCTGAACCTGGAGTCAGCTCCACTTGTTGCACACCTCCCACCTGTGACCCCGGGGTTAGCACCATAGATTTGACATCTCCCGATTGTGACTTTGGTGTTAATTGCATATATTTCATATCTTCCAGCTGTGGCTCTTGGATTAGTGCCTCAGATTTTAAACCTTGAAACTCTGAGTTTGGGGTCCACTCCACAGTTGTTACATCTTGCCACTGTGCTACTTGGATAAATTCAGAAGATTCCATACTTTGTAACTGTGGTCCTCTGGTCAACTCAGAGAAGCTTAGACTTGGCAACTGATGCCCAGGAGTTAAGTCCATAGATTTTGAATCTGCTATCTGTGGCTCTGAGATAAATTTATGAGAAATGTCATTGTCAGAGCTTGGGGTATTTCCTAAAGATGATTGTATCAACCCCACAGATTCTTTGTTGTGGTGACAAATGTCAGAGGTCAACTTTGTTTCTGGTTCTTGATATCCTGGCTCTGAAATCATCCCTAAAGATTCTGAAGCTTGCCATGGGGTCAATACTTCAGGTTCTGTGGCTTGGTGATTTGATTTGGAGATCAACTTTACAGATTTTACTCCTGGAATGTGTATCCCTGGTGTCTGCCCTTCATATATCATACCTTCTACCTGTGTCTCAGGAATCAACCTCCTACATTTGACCACTTGAGGTTCCACATCTTGAAGCAATAGCACTCGGTGTGTCTCATCAGATCTTAGGTTTTGTAAGCATGGCTTTGGGGTCAACTTCACAGATTTCATATCCTCCTGTTGTAGTCCTGGGGTCAACTCCACAGTTTTTATACCTGGCAACCCTGGTGGTAGGATCAAATGAACATATTCCATACCTTGCAACTGTGAACTGGAGGTCAAATCTGTAGATTTCCTACTTTGCCACTGTGGTACTGGGGCTAACTCATCAGATTTTTCACTTTGCTCTTGTGGTCTGAGGGTCAGTTGGATAGATTTCTCTCCTTGAAGCTGAGATCCTGGGTATGACTGTACAGATTTCCCACTTTGCAACTGTGGTATAGGGTTCAACTTAGCAGCTTTTACACTCTGCTGTTGAACTTCTATGGCCAATTCTATAGAGTTCACAGTTGGAATCAGCTGTTCATATTTTACTATTTGTGGGATTGAACCTGTGGTTATATCTACAAATTTTATATTTTGTAACCCTGGTCCCATGGTCTGCTTCTCAGATTTTACATTTGGCAACTCTGAGGATAGCTTCATAGAATCTACAACTTGAAGTTTTGGCACTGACTTTGCCCCCATATTTTTCACACCTTGAAGCTGTGGTGTAATAGTCATTACTGTGGATTCTGTAACTTCATGTGCTGGTTTTTGACTCATTCCCATAGATTTTATATCTTGACCCAGTGACTTTGGTATTGTCCCTAAAGATTCCATTATTTGGTGATGTGACTGTGTCAACTCTAAAGATTTCTTCCTTTGTAGCCATATGTCAGAGGTCAATTCTATAGTTTCTATAACTTGATGGCTTTGCCTTTGGCTCACCTCTGGATATTCCAGGATTTGATGCCTTGGGATCAATCTCAAAGATTCTAAGTCTTGAGTTGACACTGGGGTTAATGTAATAGATTCGGTGCCTTGATGATATGGTTGTGGAGTCATCGCCATGGAGTCTAGCACTTGACTACATGGCCCAGGAGTCAACTCCAGAGATTCCTTGACTTGAGATATTGGTCTTGGGGTCAAATCCTGGGATTCTACAACTTGTGACTGTGGTTCTATGATTATTTCAGTGGATGACCCCAGCCTTGGGGTTGTCTTCAGAGAATGTATGGATTGAAGTGATGGCATCCCTACTGATTCCATGACTTTAGGTGGTAGGTTGGAAGGTACACTTGCATACTCTCTAATTCCATGTGGATCAATAGTAGTAGGAGAACTAGAAAACATCAAATCATCTGGTTGAGTTGCCCTTCGGGTCAAATTTGAAATATGAGTCTGTGAATCTGGGGTACCATCTGGCTGTTCTGGTGGAATTATTCCCATGCAATCCATAGCTTGTAATAGTGCCACAGGAGTTATTTTTATGACATCTATGAATGGATGCAATGGCCTGGGTATCATGTTCAATGATTTTTTGTTTTGACATATTGGTTCTGGAATAATTTTCACTGGTTTTATGGTTTGAGTTTGTGGCTTTGAAGTTATGCCTACTGATTCAATAACTTTATGCTGTGGCCCTGGGGTCATTTCCACCTTTTCCATTACTGTATGCTGTGGCCTTCTACCCATCTTTCTTGGTTGTATGACTTGATGGCCCAACAATGTGTTAATTTTCACTGGCTCCTTAACTTGATATTGTAGCCTTGGGGTCATTTCCACTGATTCTGTTATATATGGGTGTGATTTTTTAATTTTCCCCATGGAATCCATGGCTTCAAGCAGTGCTTCAGGAGTTACCTTCACATTATCTGTGACTTGATTCAGTAATCTTGAGGTCATCATCTTTGATTCTATAACCTGATGCCGAGGCCTTGGGGTTTCCTCTACAGGTTCAATTATATGATATGCTGGTTTTGATCTTACACTCGCTGTTTCTATTGGTTTCACAACTTCATTTGGCTGTGGAAACAAACCTACAGATTCTGTCAATTCTGAATGTGATTCTGGATTCATCCCCATTGAATCCATGACTTGAAGTAATGCCAGTGGTGTTACCTTTATGCTATTTGTGACTTGGTATGGTAGCTTTGGAGGCAACTCGACATTAGTCACTTGGGTCTCGTGCTGCTGTATGCTTTTTTCTCCAAGACTTCTTATCCTCTGCTCTAAATTAAGCTCTAGCACATGTTTTGGGTCCTTCTCCAGTACAGTGGTTTCCTTTTGAATTATGTCAACTCTTAAACTTTTGGGAGGTGGAATGCCCATTGATGTAACTAACAGCTTAGATCCAAGGACTTGGGGGCCACCACCAGGTTGTGACTGTTTACCTGGGATAAGTGATTGTGAAATTTTTGTTTCTGTTCTGTTTAATACAGATTCCACTCCAGTGTTCACATGGCGCTGAAATGAAGGAAGGTCTGGGGATTTATTGTTGATATTTTGCTTAGTGCTTTGATTAATGGGCATAGATAAGTGGATTTGGGGTTTCTCTGGTTCAGGGATGCTTCCATGTACTTCAATTAAATAATTCAACATTGCCCATGATTCCCTCACAGGCAAAGGCACTGTTTGTTTCTGCAAAGTACAAACCTTCCAAGCCATATGTCCCTCTAACTCTCTCTTAGCCAAAGGAGAGAGCTGGGTTGAAACCCACCCTGGGACTCGAGGTCTCTCTTTGAAAACAGAATTTGGCCAATGATCTGATGTCAAATGATTCTTCCTCCTTCCCTCATACTTTGTTTTCACTTGCTTGCAGAAATCTGAGGATTCAAAAATAGACTTGATTAAAGAGCTTTGAGGTCTTAAAGGTGAAAGAGTTGCCAAATTTGGAAAGATTTTTGATTTCCCAAGCTCTGAGAGCTGAAAAGGAGGCAGGGATGTGCTTTGATTCTTGAAAACAGGTGGTTGCTTTTTAGATAAAATAGGTAAACTGTGGCTCCGGGATTGCCAGGTTATTCCTTCAGAAAAGACAGAAGAGTGAGACAAATTGGAGGTGTTGCATGATGATCCAGAGGAGATGCAGGGCATAGTAGAATATGTTGTCATCGTACAGTCACAAAAGGGTAGAAGAGGCTCCTGAGTCACACAAACACAAGAGGTGGAGGAAGGAATATCCTGCAGTTCAGGAAAATATGGTTCCATAAGAGCTGATCTAAGGAATAAAGAGAAAAGTTTCATTTTGCTTCAAAACAGAAAAAGGAAAAGTAGAAAGGGGGAAAAATAATGGCCATTTCAAATGCAAAATATTTTGGACTGAAGGAGAATAACAACAACAACAAAAGGTTAATTACTTATGGAAAGAATTCCTCCTCCAGGACAAAGGGAGACATTTGTCCCAGGAAGAAATGATCAATAGACCAGTGGTTCTTTAAATTCTTTTAAACCCAGAACTTTCCCCTATTTCCAAAATATCCAACTAACTCACTGTCTTTTTCTTCTCCCTTCTCCTTGTTCATCTTCCTTCCTCTCTGTCTTTCACTCCCTTCCTACCTCCCTCTTAAAAGCTCTAGCACCTTCAATCCCCACTCAGAAACTACATTCCCTGACCTTGTTTTTTCCAGATGCTGGGAGATCTGTTGAAGACGGTGTATACATTCCTGGGTCCATCGCTCAGGGAAGCCTGAAAAGCTAGATGAAAAAGAGTATGTCAGTGTAATGGAAGTGACATAGGAAACCAATAAGAAGAGAGACTTAACTTAGAAAGGAGACAGCTGTGATAGAGTGGGAAGAAAAACAGAGTCCCAGGTATCTTACTCTAACTTTTTACAGCTTATCAGTAGAATAGGCTGAAGAGAGGAAAAATAGACACAGTGAAGATGGATTTTACTCACTTGGTCAGATTAGTTTTAATGCAACCCATGCTGAGATTTTCTTCCCACTGTTGAGCTGGGAGTAGAGGTGAAGAATCTATTAATGTAACGACCATTGACATCACCTAGTCCAAACCCCTTATTTTGCAAATAAGGAAGCAAAGATGGAATCACGCCCAAGATCATAAAGCTAATTAGTGGCAGAGCTCAGGTTTAACCTAAGTCTCAAGTTTGTTTTTTAAATTATACTATGCTGCCTTCACTGTGTAGTATAGATGGAAGCCATTGGAAAGCAGGGATAATCATAATAATAGGACTTAGAGTGGAGGAAACAGAGATATGTCTTTTCCTCCAAAAGAGTCTATCCAATGTCTGTGGGAGAAAAAAAAGGTACAGAAACTTTCCACACCAAACTCTTGATAATTACCCCTTCTCCATTCTCCAAACTCACCACGTTCCTTTACTGATACTTTGAGCATTGCACAAAATGAGATGTGGAAAGGAAGCATGGAAAGAACTAAGGAGCCATTTGCATCTCTTTGGAAGTAGAGATGCTTGAAAGAATAAGCACAATACTTTCATTAACGTTTCAATCTCCCGCCCTCCACCAGCTATTAAAGGCTAGAGTCTTAAAAAAAACAGTTGCCCTGTCATTAGCCTTGAGCTTAAGAATAAAGCATAGGGGGAAAAAAAAGAAGAAGAAGAATAAAGCATAGCGTCTTTCTGACCTGTGAATGGCTGGATCTTTTCCAATCTATGCTGCTTTGAAGTCTAGAGAAGCACAAAAAGAAAGAAAAAAATCAGGTAATATTCTAGGTTAGAGAATTAGACAGTGCATTTTATGTTATAGACACAAATATTGACATAATTGGCATCCATAATCACAGTAACAATACCATCTCATTCATTTATTCATGAATCATTTGTTGAGTACTTACTAAGTTCTCTTGGTATTGTATGGGGTGCCAGGACTACAAAGATAAATATGATCCCTGTATTGTAGGAATTTACACTAATAAGGAAAACAGATCAGATCTCTAAAGAGATAAATTATAATACTGTGTGGTAAATTCTGAAACAGAAATATAAGTGCTATGGAATACAAAGGACAGTCATTAACTACTTGGGAGAGAAAGGAAGAATTACTCAAGAAGTTGCCATTTATATATTTACTAGAGGCCCGATGCACAAAAATTTGTGCACTAGGGGGGAAGAGGGGGAGTCCCTCAGCCCGGCCTGTGCCCTCTCCCAGTCTGGGACCCCTCAGGGGATGACCACCTGCTGGCTTAGGCCCGCTCCCAGGGGGATTGGGCCTAAGATGGCAATCAGACATCCCTCTGGCAGCCCGGCAGCCCTCAGAGGATGTCCACTTGCCAGCGGGGAGCAGGCCTAAACTGCAGTCGGACATCCTT